AAAATTACTTCTGAGAGAGCAAGTTATAATAGAGTAATAAAACTAATATTGTTATAAATAATTATTTATAACAATATTAATTTATAAATAATTATAAATTTATAAATTTTTTTACACCCTATATATGAACTACTGAAGCCAAGGTAAACCACTTGGCGCGCATGTATACGCGCAAAAAATTGTTCAGCCTACAATAGTAAACCTTACAATTCCGTATGCAAATAGCGAAAGAAACTAGTTTTAGCGTATGCATCAAATCGCGGGCCGTGAGTTTAGCAAATTTTACTTTTATCTTAAAATACAATGCAAGTACCGGTATATTAAAGTGTCCGCGATTTATGTGTTGTGCCCATGGTGGCGTCGGACACAAGGGTAGTTGGATTCCGGCGTCGACGTGCAGACAAAGGGATTGGTCGCAGTGAATAAGTGGTTTTCGGTTTTTTAATAAATATTATAATGTAATGTATTGTAATTGTTTCCTTCCTTGAATATCTTCCTTTCTACAGTAATATTAACACTTGTGAGTGTAAACGCGATTCGCGTTTACAATGTTTTCGGTTCGCGTATCGCGTTACCACTATGGTCGACATTCACTTTACTCGCGGTCGATATATTATATTCGAGATACGTAACGTGCGCGTACTTTGACTGGATAGTTCTGCTTGAGTAGCTGGTCCCGCTCTTTTTATATTACTCTTAAAATTAGGGTATTAAGTTGCCACCCGTAGTTACCCAACAGATTAAAAATAACGCGTTGCTTTCTGCAGCGTGTGCACTTGTGAAGGTTAGGTACGACATTTAGCGTTTCAACACGCTTGTCGTAACCATTACCACACATAACATATGATATAAAATGATGCTATAGATCGAAGCAAAGCAGCGTACTTACGATGAATCTTACGTTTTCTGTGATTAAGCAGCTTAGCAGCATATTGCTAAAAAAATCAAAAGCAAGATCTGTATATAGAGCAATTTTGTAGTGCTTTGAAACTTTTTTTCGCAACATATATAAGGAATCTAACATTGTTATTGTTATTTGAGTCATCGGTTTAATAGGGTTTGGGATTTTAATAAAAAAATATATATTTAAAAATTGGGACTCAAGGATCGGTCTAAGTATGGAAGGTTGATTCTCCGCGTACGATAATCGAAGGAAAAATTTCGATACATGCGTTTAACATACTGGACAATTTTATCCTCCCACAATCATATTAATATTAAAAATTAATATTAGTATTTAATAGCACTAAGACATCCATGCTTGCTCCTTATGTGCCGTTTCATATCTCACTCTTTGAAACTTTCTTTCACACATCGACAATTCAACTATACACATATATGCTCGCTATTTCTTACACAAATATTTACAAGTTGCCTGACTGGATAGACATGGTTAAATATTACAAAGAATAAAAGTTTGTGCGCGCGTGCGTGATCATTGCTTTAATTATTTTAATTAAAATATTCGGATTAATTTACGTTGATACATTCGACGATAGCTAAAAAACAGTTACTGTTGCGGAAAATAGTCATGTACCATTTAGCATTTACAAAGTACTATTCTAATATACCGTCTTTTAAATTATGAGCTTTAAAAAATAATCAGTCGCATCGCGTTAAAAAAATCGCAAGCAACGATAGATTAAATAATTTTCTACACATATGTATTTTCGGTAACTTTTAAAATTTTATGGAAATTAACGCATTCTGTAAATGACGTACGGATAATCGTGGAATAGAAATACTCAGAGCTGTGGTAGGAATAAACATAGAGATCTATTTCTGTAAAGTTTTCTGCAAGTTTTCTTATTAACTACTTAAGAGATCAATATTAAGTTATCTTTGAATTTTGTCCGTCTAAGAAAATATTGAGAATTTCTTCTATTACTAGACAAACATGTGTAAAAACACGTCTGCTGTTTGATGCTTAGTGTAGTTCACTTTGTATACTTAGTGTAGTTTATTTTTATAAGAAACCAAGTACCCAGTGAGAAATAGCTTGTCGATTGACGTCGAAATCGTCAAATCGACATCAATCGACAAGTCATTTTTCGTTGTGTACATATATTATAATAAGCACATCTATTATTAAATTCGATGATTCTGAGATAATCTATCGTTAATAATTAATCTATCGTTGCTTGCGATTTTTTTAACGCGGTGCGACTGATTATTTTTTAAAGCTCATAATTTCGTAGACCTATGTGGCGCAAAACGTACACTAATGTTTGTACTTAAACTCTGAAGAAACATATTTACATGGGTGAATTTATTCGGCAGAAAAAGTTTGAATCGAACACCCACCAGGCGATGTTGCGTCCCGACATGATGCGGATTCGTACCTTTCTCATTTCTCTCGATTGAATGCATCGAATTGGGCTTTCATGCCGAACAGTCGTGTGATATGAGAAGTACGATTATTTCCCGACGTTCAGTAAAGTAGAAATCTATGAACTACTAGTCGTTGATAAAGTAAGAACCTGTTTTATCTTCTTGCAAAAGATAAAAAATTCTGCGATAATACCCAAGTGGAACAGGTTACTTATTGGTTAACGTTTTTGAAGTTAACTTTTGAAACGTATCTGTATGATAACAAGTCAATGTTAATAATTCGTCTCCATTAATATGATATCAATTAAATAACAATTTAGTTGGTTAATAGCTAGTTCATTTATGCATCTTATAGTTATCATTTGGTATATATTTAATTTGTGAAAATAAAGAAAATAAAGTTATCTTGACTTAATTTTATATAGTAAAATGGAATACTTTAAGATAACGTTGTTCTACTTGGGTACTCGACGCGATACGCACGCCCGAACACACTTTCAAAGATCGATTTTTAAAAATTCGAGAATTATTTAAAATTTTTGGAGAATTACTGAGGGTACAGAAAAACGTTCATCCAAAGTGTGCTTTAAGCGATAGTACTCAAGGATACTGAAAGAAATTATTCGATAAAACATTGGCAAACGGATATTTCCGATCAAAATACCGATGAATTTTTTAAAAAGATTAGTCTAATATGGCTCTCAGATATGCAATCAACAAATTACGTGAAAAGAAAGGCGTATAAGAGCCAAAGCACAATGAATTTTTATATTCGATCAGGAAACATTCGATGAAAAATATTGATTCATAATTTTTTGATCGATTTATCTGATGAAATGTCATTATGACCGAAAGTATTTGATAAAATTTAATCGGGTATTCTGATCGGATATAAAAATAGATCGGAATTTGATTGATCCGTTTGTTTATTTTTTATTAAATAATTTCTCTCAGTAGAGATTAGCACGCTCGACCTCACTTTCGGAGAGTGATTTTTAGAAATTTGAAAATATTTTTCAAAATTTTAGGAAAGAGTTACACTAAAAGAACAGAAAAACACTCAGCAAATATATGCTCAAGGCGTATATCCAGGAATGTATATAACTGCAAGTACGTATCACTTACATACATGTAAGTAGACACATTCTTGTACATGTTCAGCATTGCGCATGCGCGAGAGAGCGGCCATGCTAATATATGTTATAGTTCCAAATACAAAAATAACTTTTTTACCGTATATCTCACACCCTTTAAAATTTTTTCACGCGGTTATGTTGGGCGAGCCGTTCTTCGTTTTTACGAGCTCGTTTCGTGGTGGCTACCGGTGCAGTAATGACCATAATTACGTAGTAACGTTCGATCGAGCGGGCAGATCGAAATCTGCTCGATCGAACGCGCTCTCCATCTGCGAGTCTTAATATTCCACTCGAGAAGTACGCCCCGGTCTCTCCACCCGACGTAATGAATCACTCTCATCTTCCATGTCGGCGCTTGATCGGCGTTATCGAGGCCTTTGAGCGACGAAGAAAATGGCCGGTATAATGGCTGGTTGATACAATACGATATAATGGGACCGTATAATACGGTGGGCGCGGGCGAGGCGTTATTTATGTATGGGAAACGCTTGGATCCGTGGAACGCGTGGAATCAACGGCGCCCGGATTAGACGTTTCGTAATCCCGGTCTCGCCGTTTCTCCATTATCGCACGTTTATCGCCGAGCAAATTATTCTCAGCGCATTTCGATGCGCGGCGGGACCACTTTCGTCGTTTGCGCTTTGTCTCTCGATGACTGCCACTCGATCCGCTTATCGACGAGCATTTGTTACGCGTGAATTTTCGGACAGGACACCATGGCCGGTCGCACACTTGGCAAGTGTTCGTAGTCGCGTGGTCGAAGAGAGCGAGCACCTGCCCTCGTAAGAAACTGACTCGCTCGGGTGTGCATCCAGTGGAGGTGGCACACACCATCGGGGCGTTCAGCTGTTGCTGCAGCTGAAGTAAATGCTGATTCTACGGGAATCGAACCTACTCGCCTCTTTCGAGAAAGGTTTTCTTTCTTCTCTTTTTCGTTCCTTTCCACGATGCCAGATCGCGTGTCGCATTTGGCCTTTGCCTAAGTGAGAGAGCAAGTGATGTATCCCGAATCGTTAAAATCGCTTTCAGTTTCGTTTGTTGTTTTTTTACTTCTCCCTGAAATTTCGTTCATTCAAGTCCGGTGAAATTCAGTCTTTGTTCAGACGAAATTGAAATCGACTGAGAAAAGCGATTTCTTGATTTCTACTTGATTTTATAGGTTACTGGATAGTTTCGTGACTGTCGATGACTCGCTTTAGCGAGTTCGTCGAATGTCGGGAGTAATCGTGATTCCTTCAACTTACTTGATTTTTGCGTTGCAAAAGCGTCAGATCAATCAATTAAGTAGCGTTGTGCATGTTTGACTGATGATTTCTCGTCTTGCTTCGTCGCTTTGCTCGAGAGCCATTATTTTATGCGTATACTTTTCTACATTGAATTTCTCATGTAGAAGTTAGAATATAGAAGTTTCTCAAGTTTTTAAATTTACTTCTGTTGCAGGGGAGTGTCCAAACTGTATACTTAACATGTCGACACAATGATCCGTCTGCCTGGAAGATTCCAGTGTACGTGCGCTCGAACAGAACATCGTAAAAGAGGGAGGGGAATACGATGAGCCACGTGACCGAGCGCGTGTTCAACAGTAACAGCTGCACTCCAATGCAGTCCTTTCAATTCACGCTGAACCCTCGTCGAGGCGACACCGCGGCGACCAGCTCGGCGGAGTCATAGACTCGGTTCGGGGCCAATTCTCTCGATCGTGAACAAAATCGACACACGCTTTTCCGGCCACCACCTCGTCACCCTCCAGTCTGGATCGGAGTGTGGAATCATCACGTCGACGCGAAGTCAATTACGCGCGAGAGAAGGGAGAGAAAGTGATTCTAATTAGAGTGACAGAGTTGCGGCTTGATTACATCCCGAAAGGATAATGGATAATCGCGCCAAATTGACCCACAATCAACCCCTCATGCTGGCAGTCGCTGTCGCGCTTGTGCTGGCTATATTCATCGAGGTATGCGTATGCGATTTTATTCTTTTTATTCTTTTTATTCTTATTATTTTTTTGCGACATAACTTGACCGTGATAGCCTGAGACAATTTGTGATTCATTTGCGTCTAATATAATTCTCGTGAAAGATACTTTCTAGCCGTGTTATCGTTTGAAAAAAGAAGAAGGTTATCTGATCGTAGCAGATAATTTGAGAGGAATTGAAGAGCGCATCCAGTTACCGCGCGAGTCGTCGATAAAAAATGAAAGTGCACAGGCGGTGTCGTCGCGTTCTCGATAGGGCCGTGTCCACCGGAACAGAATGAATTGCGCAAATAGTAGTTCGATTGCGTCGCGCAATAATATGCAGATAAGGTAAAAGTACCAATTTTCCTGGGTGTAATCCTGGATTAGGTTTCTTATTGTTTTGGTCTTTAAATACGAATATTTGAATTTTTAACAGAGGATGTATATATTTTATGTTGGAAGCTCAAATATTTATATTTAAAGACCAAAACAATAAGAATGTCCAGGATTAAGTACACGGCCGGACATTGGCACTTTTATCTTACAGCTATATTCTTCAATAACGTCAGATAGTTTTTCGTGTCCCAAGTAACCTGACTGACGCGACTGCGTTATTAAAAAAGAAAAAAAAATGAACAGCTTTGCTTCTTGTATAATCTTCGCGTTTGTATTACGAATTCTTGTAATATCAAGAGCGCGTGCGACCTTATTAAACCAGACTGAACTAATTAACGACCGACTACTTGCGAGTAAAGCGCGAGGGCGAAAAAAAGCGACCGCGATGGTAATCGTCGTGCAAAAGCATGGAATTTCGTCCGATTTCACACACGACGCATACGACGATAATTATTACTCCGCGATTATTCGCCCGACTGAAATATATTGTCGGCTGGATAAGATCGGTTCTCACGACCCGTCTTTATAACGACAGTATAAAGAACAGGGTGATAAAAGAATATGAGTGAGAGAGAAAGAGAGGGGGGAGAGGCTCTTATACGAGGGTTGAACCGGAAATATCAAAGCCGCGCGGACACCCACACAATATGTGTGAACAAGATATAATTCGTGGGAACAGAGATCGTTTTATCAAAGTCGCATATTTGATCTTTCCTTCTCGCGTGCGGTAATTTATGCGTATTCGTAAATTTTATCGGAAGGTGTTCAAAAAGTCTGGGGAAGAAGCTGGGAATTTTAATAATAAGTGCGAATCTCTTCCTACGAATCATCTGTCTCATTGACATTCAGTCATTGATGAATCCGAACGAGCCGAGGTGAGAGAATCATGAGCTGCTCCGCTTTAACAGACGAGGATTGTTAAATTCGCTTTACAGAGCTTTGCAAAGATCACGTATACGACAACAGACCTTTCATCAGTTGCAACTCTGCGATACAATGGTCGCAAGCCGTTCTTATTGCATTCATATACTCTTGCTCCAAATAAGTTGAGACGCGTCATTTATATCCGGTCAACTCGCTAACGCTTCATCAGCGCAATTGGCATAATTAAAAAATGTCTCTCGCGTTTCCTCCGGATTCTCGTCGCTGAATCGTTCGCACCTCCTCGCATACTTCACGACGCATCGCGCCGGTGGAGTCGTCGCGCGTGTTGCGTGTCGGCTGCGTAAACACGCGTATTCGCAACGAGTTGAACGCACGAGCACAAAGCGCACGGTCGCGCGTGTCGTCCGGCGCGATTGTGTTCGTGCGGCGGCTGGAAGCACACACAGGTACGCACATTATTGTACACGTGCGCGCGCACTCGACCACCGTGCGTCAGCGGGTTATTCGGTTCACTGGGGTACACACCGTGCTTTATGAGACTCATTAGCATGGCATGGGAACCAAGAGCCGGCGATTCCGCTCGCAGTGCGATTTTCGCGATGCTCTCTCGTCGTCGACCCCCTTCGCATAAACACACGGGAAACGCCGTTGGCGACAGTGTGTGCGTCTGCCTCCCGACGGAGAAAGGGCGTCTCATACAAAGCGACACTGTCGCCGCTCGGAGAAACGGCTCATTATTAACGGCGTTCTTAACGCAGCAATTATCCCCGAGCGATATGCTGTCGTGTATCGGCGAATTATGCGATTGTAATGCGCGCCGCGATGTCAAGACGCGGGAACATAGAAAGTAAGTGCTCGCGGGGCAGAATTAGGGCCCGGATGTACAGGAAAGCTCAAGCGGTAAGAAAATTGACACATCGATTATTCTTGAATTGTGAGAAGAACCATCAACTGTGGCTGGTCAACTTGCTTGCTGCTTAAGTTTTACCGCTTTTACATTCTTCTCCGTGTGTTCCCAGCCTTGGGAAGCCCGAACACACAGGAATACTGCAATGCTAAACAAAATCGTTAAACTCGTAACTTGTTCTCGTAAGACTCGTAAGAACTTATGAGTAGATTTGCAATTCTATGCGGACCATATAATAACTCGTAAATATCTACGATTTTTTTTTGTTTTGTAAGCTACAACTTTACGATTTTACGATTTACTTGTATATTTGCTTAGAATTGCAGCATTGATTCTTCAGTAAGACTTAAGTAGTAAGAAAATTGATCAATCGTAAACGGTCATTCTTTGATCGTAAGGAGAATTATCGACTGCCCCAGCAGCACATATTAATTGGCCGACGGTTGGCCGCCATAGATTTTATACTGGCCATTATGGGTTTAATATTGGCCTAATACATTATATTGCTAGGGTGTGATTGATAAATGTGTCCCCAGCCTTAAGACTTGGACACACAGAAAAGCTTTATCAGTAAGACTCGAGCAGCAAGTAACTTGACTAATCACCATCGATAATTCTTCTTGCATTTCAAGAATAATCGTTTGTGATTGATCAATTTTCTTACTGCTTCAGTTTTTCTGTGTGGTTGGATCTTAAGGGCGGAATGACAGTACTCGAACCGGGATACTTCCTCTTGCAAGCTTACAGGGCTGAAAATCTATAGTATTCTATAAAGGATGTCGGGAAACTCGCTTGTTCGAATGGCGCCTTCGTGTCGCGGACTTACGCGCCTAGCAGAAAGATACCTTGTTTATGTTAGACGACCAGGTCTTGGCAAGTGCGGGCCTCATTAGCATCGTAAGAGAATCCGAGGGCCGCGGTTTCCTCCGTGTTCGCAATTGTCGCCCCGGCTACGTTTGAGCGAAGACACGAGACATCCTAACGAACGGTAACCGGCGACGCCCGCGCAATCGACACTCGTTTCTTGAGCACCTTTCGCATTATCCTCCCCTTTCTCAGCGCACTCCCGACTTTTCGCACAGTAATTTTCCTCGTCCTCATTAGCACGCATAATCGCAGTGGCGTGGCTCGTTTGACGAGCAAAAACGAGACCGCAATCCCTCTCGCGGATTCCGCGTTCCTTAATCGAGCAAAACACTCGGTCACCGTGTCACCCAAATCTGTCACTCCAATCTAAATCGCAAATTCCTCGATCGGTTTGTCCACTTCTTTTTATTCAACATTCAACAGCCATTCTGTCAATACATATTTTCCAAGACAAGAGTGTTCTTTTTTCATTTGTGGTGAAAGAATTATAATCAAAAGGACCAATTGTGTAGTAAATATTGATACTTGCTGTCACCGATGATAACACACGTATATATTGCCACTACTATTTTTCTGTTAGAATAACGCGCGAGAAGACATAGTTGATACCGAGCGGAACTGTAATCTTCGGTAAGAAGGTAGCTATTTTTTTTTTTTTTCAATACACGTTATGCTCTCATCTCGATTGTAAGTGATGGCATCCGGTTGACAATGCCTAATGCACCTTATTCGGTACATTGAGGCAGTTACAAAAGTATGCTCTTACCTGGCTCCGACGTCCTTCCCCTATCCAGGTGCGCGGTAACCTCGTCGATCCGACCGACGGGATACGCGAGGGCGGGGAACAATAGGGTGCGTAGCGGCCGAAGATAATTATCGCGGTTCTCGAGGCAGCTGCGACTGTGGGTTCATCCTCGAGGTAACAGTGTCTTCCTCCGGGAAGTAGAACCAACCGGCCGGCTCGCTTGCCCGAGGAAGTCGCAGACGTGGCACATGTACACACATACACACACACGCACACACACAGGCAGGGGGAGAATCCAGTCTAGCGTGACTCCGCGGGTTGCTGCCTGTTGCAACTTTGGCAGTAACCACCTCCTCCAGGTATCGCGGGACCTTGTGGTTTTCTCGAATTTACCGATGGCCTTCCAATTGGAACTAACGTAAGAAAGTAGCGAGCGTACAAAAGGACGATGAATGCAACGAATACGTTCTACTTACCTTCTGCTATTTTGGCGTCCTGCCCGAAAGTACATCCGCAACATATGAGTGGGTGTGTGCGGCTGAAAGATTCACGAGGTGTCTTTCCGCATGTCTAGCCAACTTTTCCGTGCACGCATACAATCTCTTCCCGGCGCGATTTTATTTCGCGCAAACGTGCAACCGGCGTTTGCGACATTCGGTTTAATATGTATCTAATGTGATCGATGGTAACAGCACAAAAACGGAGAAAGTGCTCAATCCGCTCGTTCGATATCTTATTCTGTAATAACGTTCGGAACGTGTCTCCACGCTCGGCTTCGAAATTACTGCAATTTCTCTTTCGTGTGCAAGGTACCCGCCTCTTCCGGTGACAAATGGAAGTGGGCCACGTTCCCTTAGGTGAGTCGGGTAGGATGAAAATCTAGCTCCGGCGTGACTCCATATACACACATACATCCGGGTCTTTTCAGCCATCCTTCCCCTTCGACGCACCTATACGTACACATAAAAAATCCCTCTCCTCGTTCATCGCCGCTAATTATCTTCGTGGTCGCAGAAACACAGCGAGGTACCTGTAATCATCACTAATCAGCGGAACAGGTTTAGCAATAGCGATTCCCTCTTCAGGATAATCGCTTCTGGGCATTGACAATGACTTCGCGTCCCTCGAATACTCGCTCGGCAATAACTGAAAGCAAACGAGTCTTTGGAAACACTGAAAAATTTACTACCACACGCA